AGAGTGGGCGCAATGCCATTTTTGTGCAATTCTGGGATGTTTTTTTAAGAGAAAATAGGTCGACGTGTACATGGATACCGTTTATGTGCAATTCTTAAAAACGCGGCAAGCAGGCACTCTCAATTTTGCACCTAATCTTCGTCGTAATTAAGCATTCTTTTTCCATAAAAGTTCTAGTATAAGCGTAATTCGGCTAGCAGATTGTTGGAAAAAATGTTGAGTAAAAAAAAAAAAAAAACATGCCTTTACTTCGTGAAAACAAAACTAGCAGGTTGCTGTAGCAAGGTTGGTCGCCAAATTTTCGCCAGAAAATTGCCAAGTTACCATAATGTAAAGATTCACCTTTTTTTTTTTTTTTGTAAATTTTGATACCCTTTAGATCATAATTGCTCTTTATTTCATAAATTACGGTTTCATATTTTTAATTTTATAATTTCTGCATGCCATCTTACCAGATTTAAACTGATGATCTATAATCCGGAATCGCCGAAGTCCCGACGAGTCCGGATTAAAGACTTTTGATTGTATATGTAGGCAATTTATTGTTATATCGTAATTAATTTCATAGCTTATTTAAATGTCAAAATTATTCTTAAAATCTCTGAATAATCATTTACCTTTGATATACACATATTAATAGACCAAAGATATTTTCTTCCATATTATGCATGTGATAAGTTTCTTTTGTATGATTAACATTTAATACATTTCCATGTTGTAAATTCTTGCCTGAAGCCTGAAAATCTATGCTTCTTTTTCAGCAAAGGTTTTTTTTTTTTTTTTCTCTCTCCTACCTTCATTTCATAATGAGATTAATTTGCCTTTGTTTGGTCATGTCTAATAATGACTTTTTTATTTATAATTTGATTTAGCATTTCCTTTCTCACTACTGTAGTAGGAGATATATATAGTTTTGAAATACCTACTTTAATTTGCTTAAAATTTACGGCTTGTTCTAGAGGAATAATGTTACTTAATTATGTTACTCATCATAGACTAATGCAGTAAAAGTGTAACTGGGTAAAAGTATATTTACTGTTACCCTTTGGTGAAAATTGGCGATTTTTGGCGGCACATGGATACAGAGTTTGTGAAATTCTTTGACTTGTTATTTTGGCTTGTGTCTGCTATACAAAGCCAAAATAATAAGACAAAGAATTGCACAAACTCGGTATCCATCGACCTATTTTCACTTAAAAAAAAATCTCAGAATTGCACACACTTGGCATTGCACATTCCCTTGACTTTATCCATGCACACATTGAGCTATTTTCATTTTAAAAAAATCAGAGAATTACACAAACTAGGCATTGCACACTGCCTTGACTTTGTCCATATGCACATCGAATGAACAATTGGCGTATAATAATACAAGGGTGTACCCTTCTCTCTACTCTAGCTGTGTAACTGTCCAGCATTCAGCTACGCAGAAAGATTAAGTATCTGAAATATTTTAAAATTTTAATTGTTTATCTTATAAAGTTATTACAAATCACGTGGGTTACAACACAGGAGAGGGGACTGTTGCCAGACAATATGATTTGGGGAAAGTGCAGAATTGCACAAACTCTGTATCAATGTACACATCGACCTATTTTTACTTAAGAAAAACATCAGAGAATTGTACAAATTTAGCATTGCACACTCCCTTGACTTTGTCCATGTACACATCAATGTATTTTCACTTAAAAGGGTCAAAGGAAATTGACAAAAATCAAATTCTTCTTACTCTTGTAAAAAGTGCAAACATAACGTGCCTAATAAGTGAACGATTGTACACTTCACCCTATGATTTAGTTCAGTTATAGATAAGGAGGAAGTCACAATAATATTGTATGTCTTCATCTTAGTTTTACATAATTCTTGATAAGCATGTGTAATTTTGTGAAGAGAGCTATCATTTAACTGCTGTTTATCCGTTTTTCCATTGCATTTCGAAAAAATTATTAAACTTTGGGATTCGCCCTAAGCAAATTTTTATAGTAGTGAGATTTCATGATCAGGTAAGTTATTTACTTTCATATAAACTCATTGACTTATATGTTTGAAATGCTTTTTTTTTTTTTAATCCAAAGGGGCAATTTGCCTTGAAGGACTGTTAATTTTGTTTTGGCATTTTGCTTCGAAAACTTAAAAAGGCTATATCACTTTTCAAATAGTTGCCACCATATATTATCGCCCTGTCAGCTAGACTGGAGATTATGGTCCAGTCGCCAAGTGAAGCGAAATCGCGCCTACTCTGGTACCGCCTTGGCTTAAATATGAATCTGTGCTTTCCAATTATTTATTGCTTATTTACTGCTTATTATATTTTCTTAAATTTTGAGATAAAATGCTTTACTGCATTTTGCTACTGTCTTAAAAATGGTATATGATATTATTATGAAAACTATTAATATTGTTGATCCATAAAATACATAGTTATTAACTTTCAAATACTTAGGTAAAGTGCAGAATAGCCCTCTTATTTGTTTGGTGCTTTTTACAAGAGTAAGACGTATTAGATTTTTTTCAATTTTCTTTGACTTTTTAAGTGAAAATAGGTCGATGTGTACATGGATAAAGTCAAACGAGTGCGCAGTGCCAATTTTGTGCAATTTGGGAATTTTTTTAAAGTGAAAATAGATCGATGTGTACATGGATACCGAGTATGGGCAATTCTTAAAAACGTGCCAAGCTGTGGGAGATTCTGCACTTCCCTCCTTTTCCGTTCTTTTTCTTGAAGTCCTGTTTTAGATATTTTTGCATGTTTACAGGTTGTTTAGATATTTTTGCATGTTTAAAGAATTAATTCAAATTCACAACCATCTAATATGGCAATATGATGAGTTAGGATTTTCCAAAACACACGAAAACAATCGATTTGGCGACTTGGCAATTTTTGAAAGTGTGCCAAACTGGACCTCAATGTCCAGTTTTACCAGCTTGTCTTATATTTAAAGAAATTAAATAGTGAAGAATCGTCATGACTGTATGTATGTTTCTCACATTGTGATAAAACAACAGGATAAAATTATATTTTAGGGTACCCCTTGGCAATTTTTAGCGGTTTGGATACCAAGTTTGTGCAATTCTTGTGTAATGGTGATTTTTGTGCCAAGAATGGTGACACAAAGCCAAAATAACAAGACAGTACAAAATAAAAGCCAAAATAAATCAAAAAAATAAAATAACGAGCCAAAATACATCAAAAAATAAAATAACAAGACAAAATACATCGACCTATTTTCACTTTAAAAAAAATCCCAGAATTGCAAAAAAATGGCATTGCGTGCTCACTTGACTTTATCCATGTACACATTGACCTATTATCATTTTAAAAAAATCAGAGAATTGCACAAACTATGCCTTATGCACTCCCTTGATTTTGTCCATGTACACATCGATATATTTTCACTTAAAAAGTCAAAGAAGCACCCAATTCTACAGTAAAGGCAAACAAAAAATACATAATCTCAATAAACTACATTTTAAACCAGACAATAAAATAACATAAAAAAGGAAAAACCTTTATACATTAAGCACTGCACAAAGCAAATATCCACTTACCTTATTTAGAAATTCGTTCATCTTCAGTCTGTGGCACACAAAATTCCTTAACAGCATCTAAAAACTTCCTAAAATTATCTGAATTAAAATCTGTATATTGGCGTCGCCACATTTATTCACAAAAATAAGAGTCAAAAATATACTATGTAGTTTCTTAAACCTTCATTTACACACCAGTAAATTAATGCACTTTTCCCCTCTCATTTCAAATCGTACAGAATCTTCAAATTAATCTTTCTACATTCAGCCATTGTACTGTCTAAACAATGAAACAAGCAATGTACTTCCTAAGCAACAGACACAAAAAGCCCTTGCAAAACATCCCATGATTCAAAATTTCCCGGAATAATGCAAATGATTATGCCATAATAGAGTTTCCATAACATTCAACTACTCAGGTTACCATAAATGATACAACTTGGCAATAAATGAAACAATATCGCAATAATACAAGGGGTGCCCTAAAGTCAACTCTAACCAACAACTGTACCTAGAGCCATCAAAATTTGAATAACGTAAATCTTCCATAGAATATGTGGAAGCCCTAATTTGGATTTGAAATTTGTTTTATTATCGATTTCAGATTTTGTAACACTTCAACGAATTTTTTATTAAAAAACTAAACGATTTCAAAGCAAGAAATGGCAACACTGTACAAAAACAAAACAAACAAAAAAATTTTTATTTCTAGCACACGATACTTTGTATCAGAAATTCTAAAGATATGCCCATTTTAAAATTAATTTGCGATATTGCTGTTGAACTGAATTTTTTTATAGTTTGAGTATATAGAGAACATATTTGATAAATAAAGGTAACACACAAAACATTAAAAAAAGCCTGTTTCGACATAATTTAAAATCTGAAAACTTTCAGATTTTTTTTTTAATTTAACGTAATTATATGCTTTTGATATTCAAGTTGATAACAAAAAAGATGACTTTTAAAATTTTAGACTAGGAAATTTCTTCTATAGATTTGACATTCCTGCCATGAATTGAAGTTTTTGGTACTTTTCTGTTATGTGCCTGGCACCATTTTTGTCCCCTATGAAATAGAAGCTAAACGCATGCCGATCGCCAACAACAGCACCATTGGGGACTATGTATGCATGCAAGCAAGAGCAGTTAAAACACACACATGTATACTGTACAATAGTACTGCCAAAATGCATAGCATACAAATGTGCATAACAAATAATCGCCCATTTTTTTATATGCTCAGCTATCCAGATACATTTACCGAGCTTTTACTGCAATTTTGAATTTTTCTACCGAGTCTGGTGGAATTCATGTCAAAGAAAACGAGTTCCATGAAATCAGTATGATTGTTAGCAAAGATAGCTTCCAAGTTAATTTGAATACTTACTCCTGTGACTTAGTGTGTTCTTTTTATTAAATATATAGTTGCATACACAGAATCAAGAAATGTATTATTTTGTTGAATTTTAGGCAATGAATGTCTGGTTTGTCTTATTCGCCCCTGCAGTTTTAGCAGTGCAACAAATTTGTCCTGGTGGTTCATATTCATGTCCAGACTGTAAGTAATCATTTGTTTATTATTACACTTCCATAACATTCAACTTTTTTTATATTTTTATTTTTTTTAAGATTCAGTAAATTAATTCATTTAATACCTCTGTATTATGCTGTTGATAGTTATTAAAAATGTCTATAATAGTTGTTAATCATTGCTATGAAATTCTGTAAATTACACTTTTTGGCTGGTCAAGGTGATAATACTAAGTACCGTTCATTTTATTTTTATATGTAAAACCACTAAGGTAACGTATATCTGTAAATATTTAAAGAAATTTTCAGTTTAGGAATATTTTTACGTTTGTAACAAATATACTTTAAAAGACCATTTATATGATTCCGTAACTTGAATTACCCAATTCTTGTAAATGACGTATGACATTTAAATAGCTTTTTTTCAGATACAAATATCAATGTTAGTCTCTGGATTCAGATATGCTTGCTTAAATTGTGTGTTTTAACCTGTATTAAGCAAAAACAATAGTGATTTATACCAGAATGATTTGATAGCACAAAATTTTCAAAGAGAAATTTGCATTTTTATTATATATCCCTGTATCTTATATAGCAGAAGCCTGGTAGTGAGTCTGACAGCTGGTAAAATGTGAAAGGGCAGGTGTGGTGAATCGCAAGCCAGTACTGACGGCTTGGATACATGGTGCTGAAAGAGGCCAGTTATTCAAACACTCAGATCGGCCAGTATATTGGTCAAAGTGATAGGGTCGTTACCCATTGCTGGAATTAGTGGCTCAGCGAAGGCATAGTCAGCGACCATTCTAGCTTGGGCTACCAATGCATGAGATGATTATGCAATTAGAAAAGCTGCCACGTCTGCTACAACATTTATGTTATCATCAATATAATGCCATTTGCCAATTCACAGGGATACAGTTTGCAGAAGACCAGGTGACACTGAGCTCAGATCTTGATGACCATTAAAGGCACTTGCCATTAATACTTCATCATAAGCAGCGTTGTCTTGCATGGTACTGCTCGCACTCAAACTCCACAATGTCTGATTGGAGAAATGTGATCTTCAGCAGTGAATCACCCAACAATGAATCAGCAATGAACCAATTTTCTCTCAATGCTGATAATTACTTCATACGTGTCTGGAGACAGAGAAGTGAGCAGTCGTCATGCTGTGAGGTACTCTTGACTGTGCAAGTACAAGTATGTTGACATTTTTTCAGCCGATTGTACTACCTATGCTAGCAGATCGTTCAGGCGTTTTCCAGTAGGACAGTGCGTGATGGCACAACTTTTCTAACAATGTCCTAGACTGACCTTCCAGATCTGTTGCCTATCAAGCATTTTTTAGTCATGTTGGGCAGGCAAATTCAGCTGTGTACAAATACATCCAAACTCACAGACCAGTTTTTCTGCCCAATCTACCACAGATAGACATTGGCAACTTAATGGACATGTCCAGCCAAGTATCAGCTTGTATAGCCGCCAGGGCTGGCTTTATCACCTATTGATTTTCACATTTTTAGCATTGGTACTTGTAAATAAAACACTTGTTTCACGCCAGTTTTTAATCATCTGTTTATCTACTTGAAACACTATTCTACTGCCAAGTTTTGCAGTTGTGTCATGTAATTTGCAGTAACTCTGATGTAAGGCTTTCCAAAGACACGGACTACTAGTTTGTTTCAGTTCAGTGGTGTACATGCTGTAACCACTTTGCCTTTCCTAATAACTTTCGCTTTATCACTTACGTTGGCAACTCTCACCGGGATAACGGTCCTTGATAGATCCACAAGTGCCAAGGCTATTAGTACTCCTTTGGGGATGTTACAATTCTTAGAACACTCAATTGTGCGATACTGAAAATTTCTGTTTTCAGCTATGTATTAAGGAAGTAAAAATTTCTGTTCTTTCTGGTAAAGTGATATCTATGGTCTTGAGCTATGATTTGCTGAACAGATATAACTCCTTTACCTTTAATTCTGAACAGGGTTATATCCTCCGAAGCAGAATGCAATTAAGTCCAAGGAAAAATTACATTTCCTTAGAAAATCGAATCTGAGTATGTAAAGGTCGGTAATATATGCTACATATGTCGTGTGATGGTAGGCGGCTCTTCTAAACATGATGTTAGCATTTAGCTTTCTGTCAATGTCAATTTTATCTTCAGGCACAGTCTGGAGGGTAATGAGTTTACATTGCAGTCATAATAGATTTTTTCTGATGATGGTAACATTGCACCTGTATCAAAAGTCATTTTGCAGGGAAACACCATGGATATATCACATGATGATAAGTCCATTACTGCCACTATTCGCTGAAGAAATCTGAAGTGATTTAACCCCTTAACAATCGCATAATTTTCAAGAAAACTGTAAAAAAAGTGGGTACTATTCCGTTTTGAGGACCGTAAAAAATCGCCAAACTGCTGTTGATGCCAGTGCTGCAAAAATAATTGCGGCAACCCTAACGCAGAAAAGAAAGTATAATACAGTCAAAAGTCGTTAATTCGGACACCCATAATCCGGACTTCAAAGCTACAAACTTTCTGCGCATGCGTCACATTGAAGCATGCGCATAGGCATTTACGCATGCGCATAAGACCTTTACGGCTGCGAATATGAAAACGAAGCACTTAAACAACTTACATTGAAAGAAATGTTTAAAAAAGCAAACAAATAAATATTAAGCTTTTTTTTTTTTTTTTTTCTCTCAAATTTTGATACCCTTTAGATCATAATTGTTCTTTATTTCATAAATTACGGTTTCATATTTTTAATTTTATAATTTCTGCATGCCATCTTACCAGATTTAAACTGATGATCTATAATCCGGAATCGCCGAAGTCCCGACGAGTCCGGATTAACAACTTTTGACTGTAGTAAATAACTATCTAAAGATTATTGTTTTAATTCATATGAAAAGTTATTCCATGTACTTTTTTTTTATTATAATTTATATAAAAAAGGCTAAACATAACTGAATGGAAACAAAAGAGTAAATAACTATTTCAGATCATTATTATGATTTATATAAAAAAACGGCTAAACATAATTGAATAGATCCCTGCATCGCTATTTCGCTAGAGTTATCGCTAAAAATAATTTCATCTCATTGGTGTTCAAACATAACTTTGTATAATGAATGATGTCTTTTCTTGGAAAAAATTCTTTTGCAGACTTTTCATCATGGGCAATTTCCAAATTGTTAAATCCATAGGATATAAAAAAAGGATTTAAAAATTAAACTAATATTTCAATAGCGTCTTAAGAAATATAGAATTATCTAAACTTAAGCAATCTGAAATCAGCGTGTATGCTAGATTTGGTGCGCTGTTAATTGGGCATGTTTGCTAGTGGCGCTTTTGCACGTACATTTTCGCTGCAATTTTTTATAGTCCTCAAAACGGAATAGTACCCAAAAGTGTTAAAACAATATTTTTGAATAAAAAGGTATTATTTTTTATTCAAAAATATTGTTTAAAAATAAGTGCATAAACAATATATCTATCCATTTTTAAATTTCTGATTTTTTTGAGGGGGCTTAAAAAAGAAAACATGTAAAATAGAAATTAAAATTTTTTTCGTGTTTGAGAAATGGAGTCTTTTAATTATAATGCTGTGTTTCTTTTGAACATTCTGGACTGGAAACATGACAGGCACAAGAAATAGGGGGTGCAATCTCTCCATAATATTGACTGGAACGATAAGGAGGAGGTTAAAATGGGGCTTCTCAATATCTGGCAACCTTCGCTTTGCAAGATGGCCACTAATTTGTTTCCTGCCTCCTTGTTGGAGAGTGGTCTTATCTCTCATGCCTTGGGGTGTTCTGCAGTTCCTTCATATGTGGCCTTCACCTCCACAGTTCCAGTGGAGTGACTCTGTTTTTTTTGGGGGGGGATGTTTGGTTATCAACTAAGAAATTGTTGGGGTGATTTTCTGAAGGTCAGGGGTAATTTTATCAGTTAGCTGTTTGTTACTAGAGTATTTTTTTTTTTTTTTTTTTTTTTTTAAATATCTCTTGCTCTTATTCAAACAAGTTTTGTTACCGCTACATTTCATAGTTTTGAGTTGCAGATATTTATTTAATTTTATTTTATAGTTTATAATTTCAAATTGTAGATATAATATTAGTTTATTTTATTTATTTTTTTGATTTTTAATTATTTTCCAAATGGATCAAAGAAGGCTGACCATTTCTGAAACGCTGAAAGTGCTACATGAATTGCTTTCAGATAGTGAATCTGATACGGATCCCGGTACATGTGCAAAACATGCAATATTTGATTGTGCTTTTTCAAAAGTGATTAACTTTCTTTGAAAAAAGCCACCATGAAAAAGATAGACGAAAGGGTAAATATGAAATGTAAATATCGTATACAGTCAAAAGTCGTTAATTCGGACACCCATAATACGGAACTTTCTGCGCATGCGCCGCATTGAGTTGTGCGCATAGGCGTTTATGCGTGCGCGTAAGACCTTTTACGTCTGCACATATGTGTGTGCGCAAGTGCAGAATACGTTTTCGCATGCGCGTTTTATGTATAACGGACGGTATAAGCTAAAATTATTTAATTATCTATTTCAGTTAATGTTGATGATTGCATTGTTCCTTAATTTTCGAATTGGATCCGGCTTATTATTTTTTGCAGACTGTAAGAGCAATACTATAAAAGTATTGAAATTTCGATTATGTCAAAAAGAATTTCCGTTTCTGGAGCTCTCAAAGGATCGTACAAAACGAAAGTCTGTTTCGATGTCCATCAAAGAAAAAGTGGAATTGCTGCAAAAAATGGATAAAGGCATGAAGAATGAGACAGAGAGGTTAGTGAAAACGAAAAAATTTCAATTGACAAGTTAGTCGGTATTCTCAGTACAGAAATTAACGGGACTTAAACAGCGGAACTTTGTAACTGAACAAGAAATTATGTCTGTTTATAGAATTAAAGAGAAAGTATTATCACATAAAACGAAGCAACTTAAACAACTTACATTGAAAAAAATGTTTAATAAAGTAAACAAATGAATATTAAGCTTTTTTCTTTTTTTTTTTTTTTTTTTTTTTTTTTTGTAAATTTTGATACCTTTTAGATCATAATTGTTCTTTATTTCATAAATTACAGTTTCATATTTTTAATTTTAGAATTTCTGCATGCCATCTTACAAGATTTAAACTGATGATCTATAATCCGGAAAATTCGATAATCCAGAATCGCCGAAGTCCCTACGAGTCCAGATTAATGACTTTTGACTGTACCCAAGTTACATTTTTTTTCCATTCATATGCATGTAATCATCATATAACCAAGAAGAGCTTTTTAGGGGGGTGGAGTAGCAGGCCTCCTCATGGCACACTCTGGGTAATGCTAAATCTGCTATGGTATTCAGAATCTAGTGTTTTTGAATTGTAAGCAAAATCTTACTCTTTTACGTGCTTCCCAGTTCGTGCTCATTTCGGCATTTTCGAAGCTATTCATTCAGTGTGCCTGCTTCGGTCACACCTACAGAATTAAACCGATAAATGCTAGCTTCTCAAAATTTTACCCTCTAGGCCTGATTAGACTGCCTACCATTTTCTTGTTGAAATTCCAACTTTAAAAGGTAGTGTGCTGAACAGGGTTAATTTTGATGACCAGTGTATTTAGACTATAATAAGATTTTTTTTTTTTTTTATTTTTTTTTATTTTACTTATGTATTGGTTTTGTGTAATATGTGCATTTAACTATAAATCAGAAATATATGTTAACTGATAACAGCTTTATTTTGAATTTTTTAGTATCTACATGTTGTCAACTTATTGATAAGAGTTATGGCTGTTGTCCATTGGCAAATGCTGTATGTTGTGATGACCATATTCACTGCTGCCCAAAAGGTACAAAATGTTCTACGGGATTGTGCATCCAGAGTTTATTTCAAAATATAACTGCTGAAAAATATATGACAGACAACAGTATAATTCATCCGAAAAAGACATTTGTTTGCCCTGATGACACTACTTGCTGTAAAGGAACTGGTTCAGATAACTTTGGCTACTGTCCTGTAAAAGATGGAATTTGCTGTAATGATGGTAAACATTGCTGCCCACAAGACACAGTTTGTGATCTTTCTCAGCGAATGTGTATTGGTAAAGGCTATGTATCCAAAATGTACGATTCAGATAAAAATCATATAAAGCCTCAAATATCCACTGCTGCAACTATGAAAACATTAAAAGTATCCAATATAATTTGCCCTGGATCAACGTTCCAATGTCCTAATGGTTATACATGTTGCAAGTTGCCTTCTGGAAATTGGGGTTGTTGTCCATTTGTAAAAGCTACATGTTGTAAAGACCACTTGCACTGCTGTCCAGAAAATATGCAATGCTCTCCTACATCTGATTACTGCACTCAAGGACAAAATAATGTAACAGCGTTTCTAAACAAGCCTGCAGTTGAAATAGAGAAAGTAAACACTTTATGCCCTGATAAATCTGAATGCCAGGAAGGTATGACATGTTGTAAGTTGGATGATATACACTTTGGTTGTTGCCAGTATGAAAATGCAACTTGTTGTGCTGATAAAAAACATTGTTGTCCTAGCAATTTTAACTGTGACATTTTAGAAGAGCGTTGTGTACCAAAACAAAAAGAAAACTGGATGCTAAAGTTTATGTCTAAATATTTGGGTAAATTTTGATTTTCAACAATTACTTCATTTTGTTTTTGCTTGTGTGATTATTTGTAGAATGATATAAAAGTTTGACGTTTGTGGATTAAAACTGTGTTCATTTATTGTTTTATTTGTTAAATTTTTTGCATTTTATTTTGTCTGAATGCTTTTTAATATATAAAATTTCTTAAAACAGGAAACAAATTATCGTCGAATCATAAGCATTTACAATACTCTGCAATAAATTGTATTGCTGAAATCCATTTTGTTCACATGATCACTAATGAGCCACACTCGCATACTGCATCACATTTGATGACTTAACATTACAATGAAACTTTAGATACCGTACTGTGAAAACCTAAAGGATGTTTTATTTATGCAAATAATTTTTCTTGGAGGCATACACAAAATTAGAAGATTTTAATATGATAATCATTTTTTATCAATTTTGGTTATCTTTCAAGATTTATATATTGTTCTTGTACTTAGTATATTATTTTACTACGTGTAAGAATAATACTGCAAATCCAAAAACATTTGAGTATATATATATATATACAATATAAGTATATATATGTACAGTCAAAAGTCGTTAATTCGGACACCCATAATCCGGACCTCAAAGCTACAAACTTACTGCGCATGCATCGCTCCGACGCATGCGCGTAAGACCTTTACCGCTGCGAATTTGCATGTACACGTGCGCAAAATACGTTTACAAATTCGCGTTTAATGTATAACGGACGGGATAAGCTAAGCTAAAATTATCTAATTATCTATTTCAGTTAATGTTGCAGATTGTGTTGTTCCTTAATCTTTGGATCCGGATTATTATTTTTTGCAGACTGTTAGAGCAATTTTATAAAAGTAAGCTTGAACTTTCAATTATGTCAAATAGAATTTCCGATATATATTTACTAATATGTAAAGGATATACAAAGCGAAAATATCTTTCGGAGTCCATTAAACAAAAAGTAGAATTGCTGCAAAAATGGATAAAGGCATATCCTTTGTTTATCTTTAACGCCACCGTGGTGTGCAATGAATTGAAAGTTGATCTGTCAGCACTATCCTTATCTTAAGGGCAGATGTTTTATTTTATTTGGCTTATAATTGCTTACTCAATGTAGTATTTCATCTCGATGTACTCCGTCTTTGATATGATTTAAATCAGATGCCTCGTCATTATAATTCGCTTCCGATAGCGAAGAAAGTGACAGAGGTTATTGAAAACAAAAAAATTTCGATTGAGAAATTAGTCGGTATTCTCGATACAGCAATTATAGGACTTGAACAGCGGAACTTTGTAACTGAACAAGAAATTATGTCTGTTTATAGAATTAAAGAGAATGTATTATTACGTAAAAAACGAAGCATTTTAAACAACTTACATTGAAAGAAATGTTTAATAAAGTAAACAAATAAATATTAAGCTTTTTTTTTTTTTTTTTTTTTTTGTAAATTTGATACCCTTTAGATCATAATTGTTCTTTATTTCGTAAATTACAGTTTCATATTTTAATTTTTATAATTTCTGCATGCCATTTTACCAGATTTAAATAAACTGATGATCTATAATCCGGAATCGCCGAAGTCCCGACGAGTCCGGATTAACGACTTTTGACTGTATATATATTTGTGAATTTTTAAATATTTAATAGATTATGGCATTCATAACAACTGTGCTTTGTTTATTGACCGCTTCGCTTACAAATTTTTTTGAAAAAAATTGCAAAAAATCATCACATTTTTTTATTTTATTATTAAATACAACAAAACGAAACAAATCAAAATATGTAGGTTTTAAGTTGAATTTTTAATTTTTTGAAGGTGTAAAAGCATTTATTTTTAATATTAGTTTACTATTCCGAGTTATCTCAAGCAAATGGAAAAAAGTTAAATATTAATCTTTGTATGATAGTTTTTTAAACAAGGGACAACACAGAGTGATGCCAGACATTCTACACTAGTATCTGGTCTCTTTTCTTACTGGCTTACCGCTGGAATCTCTTTCATGGGAGCACAGAGTACACTGTCTCGTTGGGTTTGATTTTTTTTTTCCACCTCTTCATAATTATTATCTGAAAAATCATCGCTTTCGCTCTCTTGCATCATCGCCATCATTTTATTTTTTTTTCAACGCATGCATCCTTCTTTATACATTACTAATCCACAAGCCAACGTATACAATACAATAGGGAAGCACGTGATCAGTTCCTCCAAGAGAATCGTGCAACCAAACAAAATTTGGCAAATTGCCAATCAAAGCTGAATATTTCCTTTCATTTCCTCCAGACCGAATAAAACCGTGATAAAAGAAATCATACTAACAAATTCTGCTTCGCCCGAGTTTTCTCGGGATAATAATTAACTGCAATATATACGAACCCCAGGCAAGCGGTTAATATACCACTGAAAATATGATTTTCATTCTTAGCCTAAATGAAACAAGATTTTGTGTTGTTTCCCTTTTCATTCAAGTCTTTTACCGTTCAGCAAAATGCAAGATCTTTCTAATTTGAACTCTCTTTTGTTGATGAACAGACTAAGCTATTTAAAAGCAATAAATGCAGATCTTGGAAATATTTTTTGGCCTTTGATTCAATTATTAAATAAGAGCATTTAATTCATGATATAGCTAATTAGAAGCATTAAAATGTTTTACATATTATGTTACATGTTTTTCACTTTTTAAATATTCAGAAGATTTATAGCATTCCCATATTAGTCTAAATTTATATTCATCTACTATCCTATAATTTCGCTATTCCACCTGAGCCATCTCTTTTGATAGTCTCTGAGGATAAACCATATTTAACTTTTAAAGGATGAATGTTAATATATGAATCTTAAAATCCTTTCTTTTTTTGGGGGGGGCTAAGTTTTAGTTTAGTAATAGTTAGGTAATTTGGTTAGTCTTTCTGAAAACACAAAATATATATTCTGTTTTCCAAAAAACACTGTGATGTATTTTTTACAGAATTTTTTTAATGTTGACCTGTTATAGGCATGCATTTAAGAAAAATTAAAGGAACAGCTAGAAGTAGTCTTATAATTTCAATGGTTTTTATAGCTAAGAACAATGAATTTGTACAAGATTTTTATTTAATCATGCTTGACACTTCAAAATATAGAATTGCCTATTTCTGAAAAAAAGAAATTAATTTAAATAAGAACGTAAAAAATATAATATAAAGTAGAATAAGGAAAAGTTGGCATTGCAGCTTTTTAAAGATACATAGGAAGGATTAATATAGGTGATTCTTGCTGAAAATGGAAACTTTATAGCTATTTTCTATGCCGTGGATTTCCAGGGAGTTCCTGTGGTAACAAAACTTATTTACGATGAATAGTGCTGAAGCACCTGGAAAGTACTGAGTGAAGGCTGCTCTGATGCAAGTTGATGTCCAATTGTATCCCATATTTTAACCCTCAAGATAATTCATCAATAGTGCAGTGCAGTGTGGACAGGTATTATCATAGCATAAGAGAAAATTACTGCCAATTGCAGCCCTAAATAATTTGACAAAAGGATCAAGAACCTCTATATATTTCACTGCTGCCCAGTCAGTATAGTGGTTAGTGGCATTAACTACCATTCTAATGGATCCGAGTGGAGATATAGCTGTTTGTAAATATGATCTGTGTGGTAAAAGGCACTCAAAATACATGGCAAACTGAGAATCCTGTCAAATGGTAGTAGGAGAAGGGTGAGAGACCCTTTAATAATATCCTAGGATGATCTCTGTTAAAATTGGGGCGGAATTTAACAAATTAGTAAGGTGCGGTAATATCTAATAAGCCTGTAATACACAGGTACTGACTGACCTGTATATTCCAGTATTCATTGTTGCACTAGGAAAAATGCATAGGTCAATAATATCACTTAAAATGATACCTGCCATGATTCCACAGTGTTTGAAACAAGAACTCATGATTATCAGGCTTATCGAGTGTGCTTTGCTCCTTTCAGATTGTTACACGTCTAAAATCAACCTTTAAAAAAAAAGAGAGACTCATTGGTAAAGAAGACTGAGTTCCAGTCCATAGTACTTCAATTACAATGATTTCTGCTCCACTGCAACTTCGGCTATTTCATACTCCAATTTAAGCACTAGGAGACATATCTCCAAACAAGACTTCCTCACAGACGTATCTATTCGCAGCATTTTGTCTACATAGAGAGATTTTGTATGCAAGTTTCTCTGAGCTACTAAAGCAAGTCAGTGTTGTAATGCAAACAGATGATGTGATATGTACCCAATAGGAGGCTTCATCAATCTTACAAAATGCTTAATAATTCGCAGTAATTTAAAAAAAAAATTGTATTCATACTAAAAATAAACAGAAGGCTTAATAGAAGACACAAAGTGAGTAAAAATGCAAAATGTGAAAAACAAATCAAAATTGTAAATTTTTAAAAAAAGTTAATGAAATGGGAAAGGAAAGTAGTTAATTGTGAAATGCAAGGTATAAGGTATACATCATTACATGAAAGAAGAAAATAAATCGATTACTTCATATATAATATAGAATATCGCACATTCTGATAAGTATATTTAAAATAAAGCATTTTTAAGTACATGAAAGAAGAAAAACTTTATCACTTTATGAATAATGTAAAAAATCTAATAATCATATTTATATAATTAATATAAAATTATGTAAATAATTTATATAAAATTTTATGTATATTAATAACATAAAATGACTATATGCTACAGGTAAAAATTTTAATGATTCTGATATTAATGGAATTCTGTTAATTATAGAAACAATAAAACATGTACTTTCAATGAAAAAATTTAGAAAATGGTTCAGCCGTATTTGAACTCTCAATCTGCTCATTCACGGAAAATTTAAACACTTCGATAAATGCATCAAGCAATCGAGCTTGTTAGATTTAGTCCAAAAGTTGAAAAATCATTAACAATAGAAAAATGGAACTGTAATCAAATACAAACTGATGACAAATTAAGCTTTTCTTGTTTGTCAGACTTCTTGGAACATGAGAATATAGTAATTCCCTCTAACAGGAAAAAATATTCTAGCAGCAGGTTTATCATGTTACCTCAAAAATCAGAAAAAATTTGGGAATTTGAAAATTGACCAAAAATATTAAGGAATTTCATACAG